TGGGATACTCTCATTTTATCCTGGATTAGTCTTACCTTTTTAGTTGTTTGCTAAATTACCTCAGGTTCTAACATGGAATTCTCCCTAGGTTCTACCCAACATAAGGCTGTTCTACATCTTCTACCGTAGAGTGCCACATAGGGTGTCATCCCAATACTGGAATGGTCACTATTATTGTAGGTAAATTCTATCAAAGGTAGGTAATTATCCCAACTACCTGCATGTTTTAAGACACATGCCCTTAACAAGTCTTCTAAAGATTGTATGGTTCTCTTAGTCTGACCATTTGTTTGAGGGTGATATGCTGAACTTAACCTAAGCTTGGTGCCTAAAGCCTTATGCAAGCTCTCCCAAAATCTAGAAGTAAACCTCAGGTCTCTATCATAAACTATACTAGCAAGAACTCCATGCAACCTCACAATCTCACTTATGTACAACTTGGCTAACCTCTCCAAAGTGTGACACCCTTACTACCCCAATATATATATAATGTAGTAATAGAAACTTATAAATAAATTTTTCAATTTCGGTAAAAGGGTTCACATGAGAATCTTCAATATTATCCTTCAATAACCACAATAAAAATGCAAGAGTTTTCAAATAGTTTTCAAAAATAACATTTACAATTCCAAATCCATATAAAAACCTATATTCTAAAAAATCCTTTGCCCCGATGTCACAATATCAGAGCATCCCGCAATTCCACTGTTGGCATTCTAGATGCCACTCGAAGCCGGATCTTTCTCACCTAAAACATCCACAATTCGTACGGTGAGAAAAGAAAACAATCATATGTAAAGTACATACAAACACACAATAATGTAATCTCATTACATAAGGAAATATTTACAAACATTTCTATATATCATAATTTATCAATCACTCATCATCTTCACATCTCAATTACATCAATCCACATAAATCTTACAATTAACACTATGCCAAGGCCACGCCACAACTGACATAAGTGATACGGATTAATTGCCTCACTCATCCCACACCATGCCAGGGTCACGCCCTCCCTGTAGCATCACTTACCCAGGGGCCGTGCCATCCCTAGTCATTGATGTGAGGAACCACAATCACATCACAATCCATACAATCTCTTGCAATTAACCCTATGTCAGGGCTGCCATAATCGACATAAGTGGTGTGTGTTAACTGTCTTACTCATCCCACACCATGCTAGGGTCACGCCCTCCCTGTAGCATCACTTACCCAGGGGCCGTGCCATCCCTAGTCATTGATGTGAGGAACCACAATCACATCACAATCCACACAATCTCTTGCAATTAACCCTATGCCAGGGCTGCCATAATCAACATAAGTGGTGTGTGTTAACTGTCTTACTCATCCCACACCATGCTAGGGTCACGCCCTCCCTGTAGCACCACTTACCCAGGGGCCGTGCCATCCCTAGTCATTAGTGTGAGGAAACACATCGCAATCATATTCTTAATCATTTCCATACAACATCTCATCTCATATCACAATTCCATATAACATACACAATTTCATATCACATACTCAACAGATAAGTCTAACAAAATAAGGGTTTACAAATCCCTCAAGCAATTCATATCTCGATCATCAATTCTTATAAAATAATATAACAAGAACATTAATAAAATAATTAATAGAATTAGTAATTTAATATAATTTCAGCACAGTAAAACCCCTAATTGTTCCAAAACCTAGTTCACAGGCACTTTTCTACAATTTCGTTCTCTCTCCCAGATCATCATTCTTACAAATTATTAGCATATTTATAATCCTCAACACATACCGAATCTAATGGTATAATTAATTCCTCAAACAGAAATAATTCAATTTTTCCAAAACCTAGCTCACAGGCACTTTTCTACAATTTCGTTCTCTCTCCCAGATCATCATTCTTACAAATTATTAGCATATTTATAATCCTCAACACATACCGAATCTAATGGTATAATTAATTCCTCAAACAGAAATAATTCAATTTTCCAATACCTAACCTACAGGCACTTTTCTATAATTTCGTTCTCTCTTCTAGAGCATCATTTTACAAACAAATCATATATTTGTTGTCTTAAATATATATAGAATCAAATAATGCCAATAATTCTTTAAACAAAAATATTTCTAAAATTACTCATAATTCTAAGGGGTCTTCTTCTACCCAATTCCCTCATGTAACTCTTCATATAAATAATTCCCTTTTCCGCCGTATCTGGATATGAAGAAGCTGAATCTAGATATGTAGAAGCTGAATCTACACTAGAGCTGGTTGGTCTCCCTCGTTGGGTTCCCCTCGGTCTGAAGCAGAAAGTAGAGAAAAAAAGAGAGAGCAGAAGAAAAGAAATCAGAAATGAGAGGTGTGTCTTTTTGGAAGTGGCAAACAACTCTATTTATAGGCTTTTTACGCCGGAACGGCCCGTTCCAAATCCGGAACGGCCCGTTCCAGGCCCTTAAAACGTGGCTAAAAAATCACATCCAGAACGGCCCATTCAAAACCAGAACGGCCCGTTCTGGTGTGCATTAATTACCCCCAACGACCATAATTTTAAGAACGCCCGTTCCAAGCCCGTTCCCAATTAGGGTTAATGGCATATTTAATAGTCCGGAACGGCCCGTTCCATCTTGAGAACTGCCCGTTCTAGGTTATTAACTCACACACAACTTGGTAGTTTGGAACGGCCCGTTCCAATTCCGAAACGGCCCGTTCCGAGCTACTAAATCATATACCTTTTGGTAGTTTGGAACGACCTGTTCCAATTTCGGAACAGCCCGTTCCAAGCTACTAAATCACCCCTATCACCTTTATAAAATTACCAAAATACCCTCAATTAAAATAAATAAATAAAAAGTGAAATAAAAAATGGGGTGTTACACAAAGGGTATCTAATGTTGATAGGGATAAAATGGGCAGACTTTGTTAGTCTATCCACTATAACCCAGATAAAGTCTAGATTCCTTGCGATTCTAGGTAATCCAACCACAAAGTCCATGGAGATATTATCCCACTTCCACACAGATACGTCTAAGGGTTGTAATTTTCCCTAGGTGTCTAGGGTTCTACCTTAGACTTTTGACAAACTAAGCAAGCATAAACAAACTCTTCTATCTCTCTCTTCATCCTACGTCACCAAAACATCTTCTTAAGGTCTTGATACATTTTAGTGGCTCCTAGGTGGATACTAAAATTCTTTATAAATTCTTCATCTAAACAAGGTATTTCATCTCAAAATATTTGAAATTGTTTAAACAAATGAATTATTCCATTTACAAAAGGTTATATTGATTCAATCCTTTTTTCAATCCAAAATTAACCTCAGATCGATTATATCTCGATTTTGGATTGGATTGATTCGACTAATTAATCTAGTTTTTCATAATACTGTTCATAATTAAAATATAAAAGAAAGGGTAAATAAATTGTTGAACCATAATTCAAGTCGTAAAAGTTAAAATATTATATAAAATTTAAATAATTTTTGTTCAAAGAAAGCATCTATAAAATGGAAGATTAGTTGACTTAAAAATTATAAGAAATTCAAATAGTAGTGAAGGTAAGGAAAGATGAAATATTGAATCAAAATAAAAAAGATGAACCCATAAATTATTAATTTAACTAATCAGGAACGAAATAATCAAACATTTAAAACGAAAGCAGAAACTATTTTAAAATATAAATAAAAAAATAGCTAAATATTTGAAAGTTAAAACTAAATTATAAAAAAATACATAAATAAATTAATTAAAATATAAAAGAAAATATTTAAAATTGAAAAATTTATATATTCATGGATGTATATAATCAATTCTAAACTTTGACAAAAAAAAAGACGTGTGTAATTTTTTTAAAAGAGAATACAGTAAAACATCAAAGCATGCCAAAATGACATGTGAGAAGAAAGAAGTCCTACATAAAATATGCAAGTTTAGTAAATATATAAGTGAGAAAAAGTAGTACCTAAAATTTAAGTTTGCATGTATTGTAAATTTTTCTCTAATATTTTATTTTTCTCTTATTTTCCAACAAATATAAGTTACTTTCTAAGAAAATACTACATTTGTTTTTTTTATATAATAATCCTTTAAAGTTATTTTACATAAATTAATAAATATAATAAATTTTCTTATTTTTCATAATGATTTTATGTTTCCTATGATAGTTTCTTTCATTTTTGCTTCATCATAAATACATATTAGTTGTCAAGATAAATTAATTACAATTTAGATGATTCATAAGAATATAATTGATAACATGTAACGATTAATGTAAAAATGACAAATATTAAATTATAAACAAAATTTTACTAAAACTCTCACATATAAAAAACAACGAAGGAAGAGTATTCTAATTTAATATACTACATTATATAGATGTTTAAAAAGAGTCTTATTAAATGTTTACTAGAATGTCTTTTTAATAATAGATGAATAAAAGAAGTTTTATTTAATTTCTATACAAACGAGAAGAACATGTATATTGTATAGAAAACAGTCTCTGTATCAAACATCATATTTTTCAAAATATAAATGTAATTAATTCAATTATATGAATTCAGCTAGTTCTGTATGTAGTCAAGATTAATGATGATGAGATTCATTCCATTGACTGAGATATCTAACACAAGAAAAATAAGTTATTTTTAAGAAAATATATGCAATATAAGATACTTAATTAATTATTATATAAAAGGGTCATGTATAGTGTTAATATTTTTAATATATATTAAATGTGATTAACTGAATTATATGCATTTAGCTCTAAAGTCCAAAGGCTAATATTATTCATTAATTTTACAACCCCAAACATTAACTATACGTATCTTCTTATGGTAGTTTTTTTTTTTTTTAAGTAAATCGTAAATAGAAATTCATTTAATATAATGAATCCTACTGGAACAAAAAAATTGCCTTGGTTCATGAACTGTTGCATGCAAATGAGCATTGCCACATATGTGTATATAATATAAACTTTGGAAGCCTTTGAACATGAACAAGTAAGACAGTGCTTGAAATATTGAGTAATACCGATCAAGAAAGTTAAGAAAATGGAGGAAGCAACAGTGGTAATTGTGGGTGGAGGTCCTGGTGGACTTGCAGTTTCAGCATGCCTATCAGAAAAGTGTATCTCTCACATAATACTTGAGAAAGAGGATTGCAGTGTCTCTCTTTGGAGAAAAAATGCATATGATAGAGTAAACCTTCATTTGGCTAGCGAGTTTTGCTCTTTGCCTCTCATGCCTCACCCACCTTCAGCCCCAACATTCCTATCCAAAGCAGATTTTCTTCAATACATAGACACATACATTGCACGTTTCAACATAAACCCTCTTTACTCTCGTTTTGTTGAGTCTGCCAAGTACGATCAAGTTGGGAACAAGTGGAGGGTAGAAGCAAAGAACACTCAAGAAGACAAGGTGGAAGTTTACGTGGCTAAGTTTCTTGTGATTGCCACAGGTGAAAATAGTGAAGGCTATATTCCTAATGTGCCAGGACTAGGAAGCTTTGAAGGAGAGATAGTGCACTCCAAATACTACAAATCAGGTTCAAAATATGAATCCAAAGAGGTTTTAGTAGTTGGTTGTGGTAACTCTGGTATGGAGATTGCTTATGATCTCCAAGATTTTGGTGCAAGAACTTCTATTGTTATCCGAAACCCGGTAATTTTTTTATTACCGTATTTAGTATAGATTAATTTCCTTCTATATAAAATTAAAATGTTTGTGATTAATTTAATTTGTAGGTTCATGTCCTCACCAAAGAATTGGTTCATCAAGGTATGTCTGCACTGAAGCATTTATCGGTTGATGTTGTGGACACTATGGTTACCTTTTTGGCAGACACAGAATATGGTGATCTCTCTAAGTATGGAATTTATCGCCCCAAAAAGGGACCATTCTATCTTAAGGGTGTTATTGGAAGGTCTCCGGTTATCGATGTCGGAACCATTGCAAAGATTAAGGATGGGGCAATTAAGGTACTCACAAGTTACAACCATGCATGCAATTGTTATGCAGTTTTAAAAATAAAAGATTCTTAGAATGTCATACCTTCTCAACAATCGAAAACATTTTTTCACTCACCATATTTAAGTACAGATTTCTTCAACTTTTTATCATAATAATTGACGATATATAAATATATTATTCTTAAGAAAACAAAATTTGCAATTAATAGTTGAGAATGGATCTTTTCTTTACACTACTCAATTTTACTTTAGTATTGAGATGGCTTAATTTGAAAATTTTCTTATTAATTTGTACTCTCAATAGGTAATTCCTTCTCATATAACGGGAATTGAGAACAAGAAAGTCATCTTTGGAAACAATAAAGTAAAAGAGTTTGATGCGATCGTGTTTGCTACTGGCTATAGAAGCATAGTTAATACGTGGCTTAAGGTATGAGATATATAACTTGTAGTTATTAATGTGTAATTTTTGAGCAAAAGTTTTATTTTTTTTCAAATCTCTCAAACGAACTCTAATATTCTACTCCTTATCTATGTTGCCAAAATAAAGAATATATGTACCCATTTCGTCAAGTAAAAAGATAATATATAGTAATTAAGCATGATTTTAATTGATTTTTGTTAATTTATATTGCAGGATTACAAATATGTTCTAAACGATGAGGGGATGCCAAAAAATGAATTTCCAAATCACTGGAAAGGTGACTATGGATTGTATTGTACAGGATTGTCAAAAAGAGGCTTATTTGGAGTTAAAATGGATGCTGAAGTTATTGTCAATGATATCAATCAAACTCTTAAGTTACATTAGAAAGTATCTTTCCTACGAGTCTCTTGCATATAATTTCCATAAATGGGATTATAATATATTAGTTATGATGAATATATTTTTAATTTCATGTATTATATTACTACATGAAAACTAAAGGGCTATGGTATTTAAATTCATCATATAATCGTGGAGTTGAATAAAATGTTTCAAAATTTTCTTTCAATATGTTTAAAAGTTATAAAAGAATGTATCTCTTTGAATTCATCTTTCGTTCACTTCCTAGCTAGATGGCAATTTATTTTGGTGAATAACATTGGTTATAAATTTACCATCACCATTAAACAATGAGGCATAGTGGGGAAAACAATAGATATATGTTTATAATTGCAATGTAGTCTATATGAAAACAAAAATATCTCATTGTGCAAATATGGATACAATCATATTGAACAAATTTCATCCCTCACAACATGAGTTTCTTGATGTATTTTAACATGAATAAAAAGTATATAGTTATATAAAATATTCCAAGATAATTAAGTTTCTCATTCCATTTAAGATTGCAATATTAACCAATGGATTTTTTTTTTAACTTTGAGGAACCAATCATATCCTGATTTCATTGTATAGGTTGAAAATTATAGAAGTCCTAATGGTTGATATTGTTGAAGTCAAATGAAAAAAATCGTGTTCCAAACATGCTTAAAAGGAAGACATAAACCCCCTTCAGCTAAAGGATTTTATTTAAAACATTGGCTTAGTGAAAATTATTATTTGAGTCTTTATTGTTCTCACATAATAGTGTAAAAGAGACATTTCTTGTCTTCTTATATATTTTATTTAAAATAAAAAATAAAAATATTATATCATAACTTTTTCGTAAAAGTGACAAAAGAGTTATAAAATTGAAGTTCAGTTGAATTATTACATATGAGTCTAATAACTTCAATTTAATTACATAAAAACAAATATTTTCATTTAAAAGGAAACATAGAAGATAATTATCAAAAAGTGATATCACCTTAATTTATTAGTAACTAGTATAAAAATAAAACACTTTGTACCTTCAAGAGAAACACATTTCCTACATTTTAGTTAAATGATGAGTGTAATTTTTAAGTATAATATCAACTATATTATCAATGTAATTTATTTTTTCAATATCAACTAATTGCACATATCCCTTATCCTAGGAAAGTTGGAAATGACCATTAGATATGTATATTTTTATATCAATGGTTCACACTTTTTCATTTATCCTTTTATTTCTATTTTTTCCATTGTGCCCTTTGTTCTTCACTCAAAGCCACCCCTTTCATGTGTTACCTGACTTTTTCCTTACCTCTAGTCTTAATAATGGCTTCTCTAATTATGTTGTATCCATTTAGAAATCATCCTTCGCATGGGCAACCAACCTCTCAACACCGAGTCCTCCAGACAATATCTTTGTTACCCCTGAACTTGCTCTTTAAGTCCACACATCTGTTCACCATCAAGTCAAATGTCCCAATTTTGTCTTCTAAGTTAAGTTAGACAACCTCAACAACTCCAACTCAACTTGTGGCCAAGGACTAACACTAGTGAACAAATGCTATTTTACATTGTCTCTCGCATCAATTGTATAACAATTGATATACTAGTGCAAAAATAGGTTACTACGTCACCTAATTTATGTTAGAAAAACAAAAATACGACGTTGGCATTTTCGTAAATAAAAGGTGACTAATTTACGTCAGACAAGGGGGGTCCGACGTAAATTATACAATCTATGTCGGAGGGTGATTGTGGCCGATGTAGATTGTATAATTTACGTCGGACCCCCCCTGTCCGACATAAATTAGTGAATATATGCCCTCAACGTTTCATCCTCTTCCCGCGCGCGCCTTGTTTACAAAAACTCTCTAAGTTTTTCTCGTTCGTTTGTTTGCACAAAGTTGTTTCTCTAAGTCTCTAAGTCTGCACATTTCACGTTTGAGGTTAGTTTCTTCTACGCATTATTTTCTTTATTTTCTGTTAGATGTTCATCTAGAACGGCCCGTTTTGCAACCAGAACGGGCCATTCTTCTTGAATTTGTTGTTTGTTAATTGTTGATCTGGAACGGGCCGTTCTGAAACCAGAACAGGCCGTTCTAGATAAACAATTAACACAAAAGTATTGCAGCTGGAACGGGCTATTCTGATTTCAGAACGGGCCGTTCCAGACGCATTAAATTTGTGTTAATTGTGTATTTGGAACGGCCCATTCTGGTTTCAGAACGGGCCGTTCCAGATGCATTAAAGAAGGGCTTTTCAGGCATTGACCTTTAGTTTACCATCGTATTAGTAGAAATATTTATCGATTTTATCCAAAATTACTATCGATTTTTTAGGGTTGTAGTTTAGGTTAGAAAAATTATGAATAACTGAGTCAATAGTTAATTTGTGTTAATATATAGATAATGAATCGAAGTTGGATGAATGCAAGTCGCATTAGTCAAGAGTACAGAAATGGAGTTGAAGAGTTCTTACAATTTGCAAGAGAAAATGGGAAACCCATCAAAGGAGCATATTATTGTCCATGTGTTTGTTGTTTGAATCAGATACATTAGGAAGTTGGGGAAATACGTGATCTCCCATTTATATTTAGTATTGTGAAGATTTATACAATATGGGCATGGCATGGAGAAATCTTAGACATTCCAACGGTGTCAACAACTGAAAATTTTGAAGGGATGGACAATAATTTAGAAGAGATGATACGTGAGGTTGATGAAGAAAATTTTGAAAGAGCACATGTGTATGACTTAGTCTAATTTTGAGCAACCATTGTACCTAGGATGCAGTATGTTTACAAGATTATTAGCAACTTTAAGATTGTTTAGTTTAAAAGCAAGAAATGGCTAGACTGATAAAAGTTTCACAAAATTGTTGGAGTTGTTGAAGGAGATGCTTCCAGAAGATAACACGTTACCTAATCGCAACTATGAGAAAAAAAAGATATTATGTCCAATGGGTTTGGAGTATAAGAAGATACACGCGTGCCCTAATGATTGCGTATTGTATACAAATGATTTTACTACAGTAAAAGTGTGTCTGACATGTGAATTGTCGCGGTTCTAAAAGAAAACTGATGGACATAGTGGTGAGGAAGAAATAGAGGGTCCCCCTGCTAAGGTCTTATGGTATTTTCCAATAATACCTAGGTTTAAAAGATTGTTTGCCATTAAAGAGGATGCAAAAAACCTCACATGGCATGAAAATGGTAGAAAATGTGACAACTTTCTTCGACATCCAGCTGATTCTCCGCAATGGAAGAGGATTGATGAAACATTTCCAGAATTTGGTGCAGAGTCAAGAAACTTGAGAATTGGTCTAGCTACAGATGGCATGAATCCTTATGGTAACTTAAGTAGTAAACACAGTTCATGGCCAGTTTTGTTGGTCATTTACAATTTGCCTCCTTGGCTATGCATGAAGAGAAAATATATTATGTTGTCTATGATGATATCAGGTCCCCGACAACCAGGAAATGACATAGATGTGTATCTTAGTCCATTGATTGATGACTTGAAAATGTTGTGGGAGACAGGAGTGGAGGTCTTTGATGCATATCGTGAAGAAAAATTTACCTTGCGTGCAATGTTATTTTGCACAATAAATGATTTTCCAGCATATGGTAACTTGAGTGGGTATAGTGTGAAGGGTCATTATGCATGTCCTATATGTGAAGAAAACACAAGTTATACCCAATTGAAACATGGGCAAAAGACTGCGTACACTAGGCATCGTAAGTTTCTTGTTGGTAGTCATCCATACCGTAGATTGAAGAAAGCATTCAATGGATGTCAGGAGGATGAAATTGCCTCGACACCGCGCAATGGTGAAGAAGTATATCAACGGGTGAAGAACATTAACATTGTGTTCGGAAAGACGCAAAAGAAGTCAACTGAGAGAAATATCTGGAAGAAACGATCAATATTCTTTAATCTTCCTTACTGGTGCAAGTTAGATGTTAGACACTGCATAGATGTGATGCATGTGGAGAAAAATGTTTGTGATAGTGTAATTGGGACATTGCTAAACATCAAAGGAAAGACTAAAGATGGAGTGAAAGCACGACAAGATTTGGTGGACATGGGTATACGTTCTGAGTTGCATCCTCAGTCTATTGGAAGACGCACTTACTTGCCTCCAGCTTGTCATACTCTATCAAAGAAAGAAAAAAAAAGCTTTTGTGAGTGCTTAAGCAGTGTGAAAGTTCCACAAGGGTACTCCTCAAATGTTAAGAGTCTGGTGTCTATGTAAGATTTAAAGTTAATTGGTTTAAATTCTCACGATTGTCATGTCTTAATGCAACAACTTTTGCCTGTGGCTATTCGTAACATTTTACCATCTTCTGTTAGAGTTGCTATTACTCGATTGTGTTTATTCTTCAATGCCATTTGCAACAAAGTAATTGACCCAGTAAAGTTAGATGAGTTAGAAAATGAAGCAATCAAAATCTTGTGTCAATTGTAAATGTATTTTCCACCTTCATTTTTTGATATCATGGTGCATTTGATAGTTCATTTGGTTAGGGAGATTCGATTGTGTGGCCCGGTTTATCTTAGATGGATGTACCCTGTTGAGAGATACATGAAGATCTTAAAAGGATATGTCAAGAATCAATACTGCCCAGAAACCTCTATTGTGGAGAGGGACATTGCAGAAGAAGCCATTGAGTTTTGTTCAGGGTACATGTCGAAATCAGAACCAATAGGAATTCCTAAGACTCGACATGATGGGAAACATTTTGGTAAGGGTACTCGAAGTTTAAAGATTAGAACTGTGAGTCGAACAGAAGTTGACCAAGCACATTTGTACATATTGAACAACACTAATGAAGTAATTCCTTACATATCGCAACACATAGATGAAATCAAGATAGCACACCCCTGAATGAATGAGAAATGGGTTTTGAATGAATATAACAAGAGTTTCTTAGCTTGGTTTAAGAAAAAGGTTTATGGTGAGGTTAATGCTTCTGATACACTTTTGAGACTCGCTTGTGGGCCTAACAACGATGTCATTACATTTGGTGGGTATGACATTAAAAAATATTATACAAAGATAGAAGATGACAAAAGTAGAGTACAAAATAGTGGGGTTACAACTCAGGCTGGGGCTGTACACTTTGCTAGTTCTAAAGATAAAAATCCCATTACAGC